GATACCGGTCCGAATATGTTCATCAGTATATTTTCCCCCACCGGAATATATTCAAACCGATATTGGTTCGAATATTTATTTTTTCGGACCGACACGTGTCGGTCCGTATATGATCGGTCCGCATACGTCATTTTTCTAGTAATGGAAAAACTAACTGTTCAAAATAAGGATAAATGTCTCTTGAACACTCAAACAAAATTTCAGCTCAATCCAATGGTGAACTTTTGCAAATCGAATAAAATGGCAAAACTACGCACAATTCCAAAAATGCAGAAAAATAGATCACAAAAAATGAGCAATTATTCTGGGTATAAAATCAAAATCTACAAAGATCCAAAGAAAAAATTGATGATTTAGAATGCAGATCAATGTCTCTTGAACACCCAAATAAAATTTTAACTCAATCCAACAGTGAACTTTTGCAGATCAAACAAAATGGCAAAGGTGCGCACAGTACCAAAATTGCAAAAATTTTCCATGTTTTCTTTTCCTATTTTTGCCGATTGGCTCCACTCAGATGCACTTCACTTTTTGCTATATCATCTCAAAAATAGACTTATCTTATGTGTCTAATGGGTTGCAAAATTATGGGTTAAAACAAGGATGATTTTATGAGAAAATGAACTTTTCCTCAAGATACTAGAGACTCAAGATTCTAATTTGGTGCTTGAATGTATTGTCCGACTAGAACAGAGAGAGAGAAAGGAAAGGAGAGAGAGAAAGAAAGGGCTGGGTGTTTTTGGGGAGTTACAAGAGAAGTGTGTAACAAATTAATCATCAATGACTATTAATGTGTAATAGAGTGTATAACTTTATAAGGTGTATGTATCATTTCTCCATATCTATAACATACTCAACATACCCACATGAGTTTCAAATTGAATTGGGTAGACCCAACTTAAAAAAAAAAAAATGATAAAACGTGAACAGAAAAAGAAAAAATTTAAAAAAAAAAAAAAAAGAAGACAAATAGCACCTCTAAATCATTCATTAAAACAAATGACACATTATTTACCCACTAACATCATCCTACATCAACCTTCCGTTAATCCCAAATTTGGCTAACAATTTTTAGCAAGTGGCGTTGACATGGCTTTGCTCATTTCAAAAAGTTTAAGTAATGACATGGCAAATGGGACCTACCAAAATGTTAATTCATAAAAAAATAAAAGAAAAATAAAAATCACTCCAAATTTACAAAATATGCCACTCTGGGTCCTATTTTAATACCTAATTATTTTATTTATTAAAAAACAAAATTAAAATCAATAAATCTGTTCTTCCTCATGTTAAAAAAAAAAAAATCTGTTCCAACGAACCCAAATTTATTGGGTTGAAGGAACCCAATGGATGGGTTCCAATTCCCTTTTTCCTTTTTTTGTTTTTTTTTTTTGTTTTACTTGTGGGTTCCACATATACCGTACTGTATCGGCCGGTACGGTCGGTACATATCGGTTTTGAGAGTAAACCGAAACGGAGTAAAAAAGGATTTCATTTCGGTCAAAATCCGGTGATCTCGATCAAATTTCAATGTATCGACCGAAATTTCGGCATGCCGGCCGGTACACCAAAATTTAACCGGTACAATATGCAAAAATTTCAAAAAAAAAAAAAGATTTCCTGGCGTCCTCTGTTCTCGCGTCCAGCTGTCTCTTGTCAATCTTTCATTTTTTAGTACAATTGCCGCCTACAATTCAAATCAATTCAAACTTAAAAAGCATAAATTTCATTTTTAGTCCTCAATTTTAATATTTTATATAATTTTTATCATTTAATTTTTTTATATACTTTTTTAG